CTGCGACACATTTGTACTGAGGTAAGACTAGAGGACACCCAGTAAGGTTGAGTCAGCATTGCCAGTATGGTGGCCACTGCCAAAGGGTTTCTAAACTTAGCTTCAGAAACAAATTTCAGTTTATCTCCATATTACATCTGGAAGGTGGAAGATAAAGTAAAAATAAAACGTTAAAACACAGACAGCGCGGCTAGGACACGCCACTGGACAGCGTTATGACCTAGTTTGAATCCCAATAGGGCCTACTATAATAACAGTCATTTCAGAGTAGTGTTAACTGATCGTTTGTTAATTTTTTAATCTTTTGCACATGCTTTGTGGATTCAGTGTTGTCTTTTTGGCTCTTGAGCCCAGATTTAAGTGGAGCAGAAGCTGCAGAATCCCTCTGTTAATCACAGAATCCTCTGTATGTAGCTTGATGTGCATTGTTTTGGTGCATTTGTCTTTTGGATACTTTTTCTTTATTCCTCTGAGCTCTGTTATTTCTCAAGTTGAAGTGTGTTTCCAATATTGTTAGATTTTTATGTGTTTCTCCTGCAGATCAGTTAACCACTTTACCTCCAAGGAGCCGCCCATGTAAGTCTTTTCAGAGTGGACGGCAGTCTTCAACACCTGTGATTTTGTTTCACTTTAGGTACGTTGATGAGTTAAAGGAGTGATTGTGTGTGCATTTTTAAGGTCATTTATGTTTGATAAGTTTTATGAAATGGGTTTATGACTGTTTTACTAGAGGTGGTAACATATGTCCTGCCCCTGATAAGACGTGGTCTTTAATGTTGGATGAAGAGTGATGTTTAAAAATAACAGCAGACTCAAACACAATAACCCACGTGGACCATAAAACCATGTGTCCCCGTTCAAACACACACAGCACTTCTCCTTTATCAAACATCTGCTGCTGCAGAGTCTGATCCTCGCTGAGTGACTGCTCCACGCTGCTATCAGAGCCATCACCACCCTGCATGAGGCCGTGTGTTGGACGTGTGTGTGTTTGTTTTCTATGGCGGGGGAGGATGGGGGGGTCGAAGGGTGAACAAACATGTCCTTTTGAGTCAGTGGCTGCAGAGCTAATATTGACCAGTCCGCTAGGCCTCACGCAGCAGGTCGAATTAAGCACAGTAGCGATAGTCACCGAGCACAAAGAGCCAATGAGACGTCTTATCACTAGGAGGAATTATCCTCCGTCTGTGTGTCTGTCAGGATGATCTCCAGCTCACCACACGGGGAGGGAGGGGCAAACAAGCTTCACATGTTCCCTTCATACAGCAGGAAAACTTGAGTATTAATACCTTCTGTTGTACTAGAAAAAAAGTCGCTCCCCTCTGAGGTGTCGGCTATTTTTTCACCTGACCTTTCAGACTTGATGAGGCTTCATCAAGTGTGAGCTCACCAAAGACTGTTGCTCTCTAAAACCAAACTCCCTCTAAAAAAGTTGCAAGATTACTCATAAGTGTGCAAAACTTGAGACTAGTGGCAGCTAGTGTTCACATTGGGTAAGTTGTTCGACAAATGCATTATCTAAAAATTGTAAACAAACAGCATTGACAGCACTGAGCGTATTTTTGATCATTCTGCTCTGTTGGTTGTAGGAATTGGGTCACAATCTCTCGCCCAGAGCCGGGCTGTGCAGCCGTCACCTTCCCAGAAACAGTTTCTTGTGAAAGTGGATTTTTAGATGTTGCGCTGAACTTTTAACTGGGACTTCTAAATACTGAGGTGAGTGTATGAGAAATACGCTGGTAACAGGCACTACACTCAAATATCGTGACTGCTTGGTAATGGAAATAGGTGTCTATGGCATATTATGTTGTTGAACTGTAACACAGTGCTGTTATGCCACTGTGATGTCTGCTTGCTCACCCTTTCTCATCAAGTCCATTTGGTATACTGTTACTCTTAACTTTCAAATCCTCCAGGGAGCGTCATCTATCAATCATAGACGTCCCCTATCCTCTCCAGCCTCTTTGTCTCCAGCACTGACTGCTCATCCTAACGGCTCAATCTAGCCGCCTAACCTTTCAGTTGCACAAGTTTCATCACTGCCTCTGAAGTCATCACTCATGGCTTAATAAGCTAAACCTGCTAATCAGTGTGTGTGAGTGCATGATAGAATCAGTGGGTGTGTCTTCTGTAAATTTTTTTAGATATCTTTATTTGTGAAAAATACACAATTCAAGATTCAAGCTGTTTATTATCATTTTCTGCCATACTGTATGTGAGTACATACAGAGGATTGAAAAGGATGTTTCTCCCCAGAGCATGGTGCAAAACTACATATAAAACTGTATAAAAATACAAAAAAATAAAAATAAAAATACAACAGAGAAGAGTATAATACAGTAGGAGAGTGGTATATGTGTCCACATTTACCCTCATGCCTACTGTGTCTTTACATAAACACATGCATAATGAACGCCCAGAAAAATGATTCTGCAGTACATATTTACGCTTGATCTAAAGTGCAGGTGGTGGTTGAAATCTGCAGTATTGCATTGATGTAAAGAGCATGAAAACTACTAAAAGTGAAAACTACAGAATCAGGTGATTCCATAACAGCAGCAGAGTTTTAGTACAGATACTTTGTGTCCAGTCAGGGTTCAGAGTCCAGTGTTTTTACTGTTTCATCAATGCTGTTATTTGTAGTGATGAGAAGAACAGCTCTTTTGACTGTACTGAATCTTTAGAATCCGTTCATTAAAACGAGTCGTTCAAAAGTTTGGTTCACCAAATCAGTCAGTGCTTCGGAGCCCAGTCCTGCCGGTGCAGTACACGAGTGAGTGACACAGCAGCACTGATCGGGAGTTTGTTGATTAAATGAGCCCCTCCCCTCCCCTGCTGCTGAAGTCACAGCATCGTTCACTGGGTAACACATGTCGTTCATTCCCCAAGTCCTGAAGGAAGAATCTCTCCCCTGCCCTGAAAAACTTCTGTGTATCGCCGTTGGCAGAAACAACACAGCAGCAAGCAGCCCGCCCGCTAAATGAGCGTGAGTTGTCGTTCTTTTATATCACTGAAAAGTGGGAGATAAAAAATAAATAAACACTGCAGCTGTAGCGGGGATTCTGTATTGTTCTGGATTGTAAAGATATCAAATAGTGTATTGCTTGAAATAGGTTAAAATTAAATCCTTCTTGTAGCAAAGTTTATAGACCTGTATTGATGTAAGGGCACTATAATGCACTGTTTTATCTTCGCCTACATTCATCCTCACAGTGAACAACCGGTGCTCAGCAGTTCATAAATGATGCTACACCCTCCCTCCTCTGCCTGCCTCAAGTCGTTCGGAAGTTGTTTCACTTTGTCTGAGTGATACATATCGTTCATTTGCTGTGAGCAAATCACAAGACTTTGCCTGCCCACTCGCTGGCTGGCTGGTTGTGTGTCGTTCACCAAAGAGTCAAAGGCGGCAGTTCCACTCCTGGCTGGCACGCCAGGCTCGCGGCTGAGCTTAACTGAACTGAGAAAGGAACGAATCAGGTCCTGGAGTGATTCAGTTCACGTCGTTCACTCAGCATTTCCGTTGTTTTGAACGAAACGTTCATGAACGTCACAACACTAGTTATTTGTCACATAACTTCAGCCAGCAGTGTGCAGTATTTTTAAAACATGCTGGATGGATTTGCACATTTTTCTGTTTTACGGTGACAAAGGACAAATAAGTGATTCTTTCAGAAACTTGATATTTTATAGGAATTATGTCACAGATTACTTTGAATGCAGAAGTTGCGTTACGTTGCAGAAAATTACTTGTTGCAGCAAAAAATAATCAGGGTAGTCTAATGGCTTATTTTGTAATGTGTTACTTCCACCACTGAACATGAATGTGTGTCTTTTAGGTGCGGGGCATCAACAAATAGTCCATCTGGTCAGTCTGGGGTCCATCTATAAATGGGGTCTAAAATACTGCTGTAGTCGGTCTCTCTGTCGCTCCCCTTGCTCAGGTCTTCAGCCATCGTCTGCATCTTTGCTCAGCTTGAAAAACTTTTCCACACAAAAACTTCAGTGTGGAAGCCTTTGAAGCTAAAATCAAAATGTTTTTCCTCCCATCCACTCTCTAGATGCATATTTATGCAAATTAGATCACAGTTTGATGGTCAAATGTCTTAAAAAGAATGAGATCATCCAAAACATGCAGATGTTGCATTTGATATTAACAGTAGAAGCCTGCCCGCATCAACTCAGCCAGTCTTAAACATGGAAACGATGCATCTAGTCTAAATGAGCTAAGACAATCTATGTGGAGCCCTCCGGGCCACTGTAGTTAACCTGAAAGACGCTACTTTAAATCGGCAGGTGTGTGAAGATGTGACTGTGCCGACACACTTATAGACAATTAACAGATTGTACTTTAGATTAGATTTAGGACATGGCATGGACTAAGTGAAAAGCCAACTTGAGGCTACAGCTGTTTTCAGGAAGCAGCTTCAAGACTCCTGACAGAAAGAGCCTTACTGTGGCGTATCCTGATGTTTTGAAGTTATTGCTGCTTTGGTGATAATTAACGTGTATTGAACACTTTAAAAAGTCATCGCGCTCTAGGTTTAGTATGCAACCACACAACAAGTGTCATGAATGAATTTACTGAGCTTATTATCTCTGCTCACTGAACAGTTTCAGTGAGACGTGTCCCAGTATAGAGAGACAAACAAACAGGTGAGAAGGAGGAGGAATAAGGGAATAAATAAAGTCTGTTAGCAGGATATGAAGTAATCCTGAAAATTTGAAAAGTACAGTTATTTGCATAAAGTCATACCACCTTTAAGAGTTTCAGTCTGTCCACATGGTGCTCGAAGACAGCAGTTAAAAAAAAAGTGGAGCGCCAAAAGGAGGTCAGAGGAGATGGGGGGTGATAAAATTAAACCAGAGATGGTCACTGTGAACGTCTAACTTCAAGATTTGTGTCGCACAAGTGGATCAAATTTGAGTAACTACAGAAAGAGAAAGAGAAAGAGAGAGAGAGAGAGAGAGAGAGAGAGAGAGAGAGAGAGAGAGAGCAGGCAACGGAGGGAGAATGACACTGTGGTAAAAACATACATGTCTGTCTCACACTGGTCTTGACACAGTGAAATTATGATGCCGGCATAGGAGTTCTTGGTCCCTCTAAGAGTCCTTCTAACACCGGGAGTACATTGTACGGGAAATGTGGACTTTTGCATTTTGGTTTTGAACTTGTATCTGTCTGCATTTATGGTTCATCCCCCCAAATAAAGGTTATTCAGGCTGTTGTAGATTATTTGCCTTTGTTGGCAACTATCAAAGTGCTATCAAAATGTACACAGTGGGTCTTTGGCTGCTTATTCTCAGAGGTATAATTTGTAACAAGGTTTGACAAGCAGCAGAGAAGAAGAAGCCATGGTGCAAAGTCTCCTCAGTGGACTCTGCATCAGTGTGGAAGTTGTGAGAGGACATCATGTTTTATAGATGAAGCACATGAAATCAGTAAATATCAGCCCAGCAGTTACATAAGTTGTCTTGCAGTGACCCGGCTGATGTTCTTCTTAGATGTAGAGAGTTTTCACTTTGATGTCAGATTTTCTCGCTCAGGCTTATTGAGCTGCATTCACGCCAGCCAGTGACAGTCCAGGGATTCACCCAGCGAAACAAGCTGCCACATCCTGGACTCGGTCCAAAGAGCTGCGCTCCTCCTGTCCAAGTCACATTTAGTATCTGATCAAGAGAAAATTGGATTTAATTACACATGAATGTCGTTTCCATACAGCAGAGAGCCAAGCTTACAGATCTGTAATAAGGTTTTATCCTGAGATGAGACTGAGGGAAACAGACGACTAACTCTGAATACTGACTCTTTAAAAGTAACTGCATAGACACTAATCTCTTTTTACAGACTGTACTGAAAGTGTAGGTATGTCTCAATGAATCAGCAAATTATGGAAATTTTTCAAAGATTACAGTTGCAAGAAAAAGTATGTGAACCTCTGGATTTAATAACTGGTTGACCCTCTTTTGGCAGCAGTGACCTCAAACAGACATTTCCTGTAGTTGTGGATCAGACCTGCACAATGGCCAGGAGAAATTTTGGACCATTTCTCTTTACAAAACTGTTTCAGTGCAGCAATATCCTTGTGGTGTCTGGTGTGGATCACTCTCTTGAGGTCACACCACAGCATCTCAATCAGGTTGAGGTCAGGACTCTGACTGGGCTACTCCAGTAGTTCGATTTTTCTCTGTTGAAGCCATGTTGTTGTTGATTTACTTTAATGCTTTGGGTTGTTGTCCTGTTGCATCACCCATTGACTATTGAGCCTCAGTTGGTGGACAGATAGGGCTTTTTTTTTCATGCCTTACCGGAGATGTAGCGCAGGCGCCCTGTAAGTCAGATCCGCCGTGCGGACAAGGTGTTCCCAAGCACAATTTGGTATTTTGGTATCCCCCCTCCCTAACTCAGCTCCTCCCAGTGACGTAAGTCGTAGCAAGGGAGGAGAGAGGGCGTGGAGTGGGTTTAACACAGCCGAGACCTGTATTGACCAATAACATCAGCACCTCTCCTCACCTTTAAATCCGCCACTGGCGAGGGGTATTACAATTTTCGTGAAGTAGTCAAAGAGATCAAGAGATGTCTGAAGACAGCAATGCCACACGATGGCGACAGAAGGCAGCTCCTCAACAAGTGTCGCTGTAAGCGCTGCAGAGGGCGTGCTCCATATGAGCACAGATGGATTTGGTGTGTGTAATGTTGGACCCACTGATAAGACAAACACCCTTTCCACAAATAAAGACACTCACACGAAGTTGCATATATTCAAACCTCACGTGACAAAGGTGGGTTGTGCGCGGAGATCACAACATAAATTCCAATAATGGCATTAAAATCGGAACCATCTGTGCGTAATGACGCGCTCCGTGACCTGGCTCTTTCTTTCATAGATATTGGCATATAAAATAAATTTGGCTCACAAAACAAATCATCTGATCACTGAAACAAATCATTTCTTCAGCCGCTGCAGCAGGACGGGGAGAGGACACGGAGACATGTCCAGGTCGAGCTGCACGAGAAATAAGAGGAAGAGGAAGAAAGAAAAGGAGGGAGACGAATAAAATATCTTGTTCCCTTAATCATATGTGTTTATTTACTAAATATTTAATTTACCTTAATACAGATTCAGCAGCTGTGTTGATTCGGTCAGGTTGTGTGTCCAAACGCGGGCCAAACGCGCTCATCAGATCAGATATAGGTCAGAATATATCTATATAGATCTAAATGTATGTGCTGACTCAGATTATTAGTTGTTGATGATTATTTATTGCACTGAAATGTGCCTGACACTGTGGAAACCTGCCGGTGAGGCATCGATGACGTATGCCGATACGCCGCCGGTCTACCAAAATACCATTAGACCAGCTGCGCTCCGCCTGTGCTGAAAGCTGACCAGGTTTGAATCGGCGAGCTTTAAGTGCACTTTACACGCCAGCGGCGAGCACGAAAATGTCACTGCGCCAGCTGATTCTGTCGATACCTCCCCCTGCCACGCCACCACGCCCAGCTTGGTGGACTTTGGTGCGCCTCAGTCCATGAAAATACCAACCGGCGGTACGCCGGGCTCTGCCAGAACAAAATACCACTGCGCGGGGTCCGCCACTGTCCGCCGCATCGCCGGCAGACACGAAAATAGAGCCCATAATCTATAAAATGAAACAGTGTTTGTCTATTGTTGTGACTTACATGAAGATCAGAACACATTTTATGACTGATTCATGCAGAAATTCAAGTAATCCTAAAGGGATTTATTGCATCTAAATTAAATGTCTCAAGCCTTTTAATAATTTTTTAAAATAATTTTAATGATTGGTCCATAATTCATGACAGCAAGAAATTAAGTTAATTTTAAACTGTGGCTCGTTTCCCATTAATTTTAACACCAATGTGATGTGGGAGGCTATAAGCCTGTAGCTCTGTTGAGGTGTTATTGAAGCACCAGTTGATTGAATAGAGGCCTTCAGCTGGTCTGTATTTTTGGGTCTGCTGTTTCTCATCTTCTCCTTCCCACAGGTTCTCTACGTGGTTTAACTTAGGCCCTGAAGGTACTGAACTTGACTGGTAGTGTTTTCATTTATTTGCTAAAATCCAAATCATAGACTAATTTGTATGATTGTTTAAAAATGACCTCAAGGTCACAGAGCGACATTTGCAAGTCAACCAAAATGTTGTAAATGTGGTCAGAATTTCAAAAAAGTTCATGAACACATATGCTGTAAGTATGCAGTTGAACAACTTTGTAACTTGAATCTGCTGTATGAAATATAAAGCCAGAATCACGAATAAATCTCAAATCAACAGGCCGATGGTACCACCACAGACTCCTGAGTCTTTCAAAATAAAGCTGAATGGAGGTAACATCATCCTGATCATACTTCAGATATGTCTGTGGTTTTCAACATGCTTCCTGCTCAGAGTGTTGTTACAGTCAAGTGAGATCCACCTTTCAAAATGGTCTCAATAGTTATTAGATTCATGTCAGGGTTTGATTGACAGTTGACAGCAGCACAAATGAAAGGCCACATACATAATCATTATTATTTGTAGCAGTCTGTATTTTGTGTCCAAGCTGTAAAATTGCCATACTGATGGGATGATGAGATGAGAGATAAGATGTTATTTTTGGTAAATGTAATTCATACATCAGGCATATATAAAATACAAAATACAGAAAAACACAGTCAAATGTTATAAACTTTACTTATTTAATATGTCACAGTTATGGTGGTAACTTTGAGTTTTCACAGATTTACAGAGTTTACAGAGTTTGTAATAATAAGAGAGTGAAGACTTTTAGCTGGTAAGATGCATGAGAGCTGTGCGGCAGCTAAAGGTCACTGATGCCTACTATTTACAATAATTAAGTAAAAGGTGAAGGAGGAGTTGAACAGCACGGATAGCTTAACCAGACCACACTGTCCAGGGAGAGCTTTTCAAAGTCTCTGTGGGAAACATGCAAACTCCAAAGTCTCTCAAATGTCTCTGATTCATGGTGAAGGTCATGAGTCAGTTTCTTGGAGGGAAAAAAAACCCACTGTGATCTGTGACATCCTCACAATATTCTCATCTAATAAGAGGCACCTGTGTATTAGTGATATAGAGGATTTAAACACTGTTTGTGCCAAACACAGACATAAAGGAGACTTGAAGCTTTGTAAGCTTTATCTGACTTTAAGTGAGAGTAAGAGTGTGAGGAAAGGTCTTTAAGGAGGAGGGGTGGGGGAGGGGAGGCTGTATCAGCCGCCACCTACCGCTGTAATGTAATCTGACATCACTTCATGACCCTCATCACAGCTTTAAATCACTGAGACCATCGCCCCCACTCAGAGTTTGGCTCTGTGTTTGGATATATAGACCTCACAGCCGGTTCAGAGGAGGCAGATGTGCTCACAAAGAGATTTACGACACCACCGTGAGGCCGTGAAGACTTTGTGATTTCACAGCTGTAGTTGTTTGTTGTGATGTCACCGTGTTGTTAACCATATGTCCGTCCCTGGAGAGACGAGGCTCTCCGCTGATTAGCTGAACAGCTTGTTGCCCAACAGGCCATGAGGTTGGATGACCTCTGGGGGTGAACAGAAAGGCGTGTAATCTGCCTGATGGGACAAGGTTGTTACACTTGTGTGTCTTTGTGTGTGTATATGTGTGTGTGTATGTTTGATCATTAACATGGACTCTCTGATTAGGGTTTGGGATTTAGAGGAGAGACTAAAAAAGCCGTTAATAGATCGTCCTGCCTGTCTTTGTCTTTGTGCCCTCTCTTTTTCTTTGCATGCTGATCTGGAGATTTTGATTCTCTGCAGAACACACCTGATAGTTTGGTTGATTCTGATTGTAAGATCCTCTTCCTCCTGTTCTAACTGAGACTAATCTGTTACATTCAGGCATTAGCATTTTGCAGATGCTCCCCCATAAACACTGTGTGCCATCTCAGCTGCTTCCACCAATTATAGAGATTGCATGTGAGGAAAGTTGAGCACACATGATAGACGGTGTGTGTCTGTGTGTGTGTGATGGTACCTCAGTGTTGTTGCAGCCATAAAAAGGGTTTCCTCCAGCTCCACGCTCCTCCATTAAAACAATCATTCAGTCCAGCAGTGCACCAAACAGCCCACACCGAGGCATCCCAGCGCTCCACGTTCACTCTGCGCCAGATTTAGACACCATTTACAAACCACTGCAAGGCAACAAGCATAATGCAAGAAAACAAAGGATGCACTACACTGGAGATATACCTACATTTCAAAATTTAGAGTTTTAGATTTTTAACAGATGTAAAGAACACAAAGTTTGTCCTGTCCTACCAACCCTCAACTCTCATTGTGACTCTCATTTATCAGAAAAAGACATAAAACAAGATAACAGGCCAACTTTAACTGGTAATGAAACAGACTGAAGTCAATAAAGATGCCTTTACATGAGCTAAGAAAACAAAACTATCACTAAGAAGATAGACTTTGCTCAAAAGCCATCCATCAATCCATCCATCCATTTTCTACCACTTGTCCCGTTGGGGGTTGCAGGGGGGCTGGAGCCTATCCCAGTATCTTGCGGCAAGGCAGGGGACACCCTGGACAAGTTGCCAGTTTATCGCAGGGCTGACATATAGAGACACCTACGGGTAATTTGAAAGTGAAGAATTAACCGTACCCCACTTCTGCATGTTTTTGGGATGTGGGAGGAAACCGGTGTACCTAAAGTAAACCCACTCAGACACAAGGAGAACATGCAAACTCCACACAAAAACACCCTAACCCGGATTTGACCCCACGACCTTCTTGCTGTGAGGCAACATTGTTAAACACTACACCACTGGGCCATTTAAGTTTAAAACAGCTGGAGAATAATTGATGGCATTTTTTCTCATATTTATCCTCAGAAAGGTCCTTGTTGTGTTGTGTCAGAGTTTTACCAAAAACTGCTTCCACATGTCAGGTTTAACATCAGCAGGTTAACATTAGCATCACATACAACTCAGGGAATCACATTTAGCATTCGGCCTCATCGATACAAGATGAAAAAAAAAATTACTTCTGCTAAAATCTGGTTAATGATTTCATCTGACTCATTCAGACCCCGAGCCATTCAAACACTGACATAGCTGTAAATATGTGACTTACTGCACTTTCCTTAACAACCATGTCCAAACAGACATTTGTTTTTGACATAAAGAACCAATCAAAGGCATGATTGACGATCTGAGAAGCAGTTGAAAAAAACTCAGCCGTTGAGGCAGATTTGAAAAAAACCGTCCCACCCCCCACAAACAAATCTCTCCCCTCTGTACTCCACGATAACTCCCCCCCTGAACCTGTATCGTCCTCCCACTACACATCCCCTCTGGCAGAGCAAGAAGCCGGCCGGCAGAAGATCCTACGCTAGCTTTAAATAGGATTCACTATGTCGGATTGCTCAGGACTAGCAGCAGTAAACGCCAGCTCTGCTAGCTAGCACCGTCTGCAGCTGCCTGGACAGCTACCATGGTGACACCACAGAGACTCATAGGAGTTATTTATGTAACATGTGCCACGATAAATGGCAAAAATTACCTGTTCAACAAAAACTCAGGCCCAAATCTTGGTGGAGCTTTCTCCACCACTTGAAGGATGACCCGATGTTTATTCGAGTTAGATTCCTCGCGTGGTCATATTTCCTCTTCGACTCTGCCCTTTCTTCTGTTGGCTTGCGTTTTCTTCCCACCTCCAGTGTATTTTTGCATCCTTCTCCATCACAGCTCCTGTTGCTAAGCTGCTGCGCTACTTTTAACCACTCAGAGCTCTGAGGAGAGCCGGGAGAGTGGGAGGGGATGAGTTGCAACCACGGGAGAGAGGTGAGTCGAATACAGCAAGGTGATTGGATGGAGAAGCAGAGCAGGAGATTTACCAATAGGAGCAATCTGGGACAGGTGGCTCCCATTGGTCAATGTTTTTGCAGTCCTGCACCTGCGAGGGTGAACAGATTTTTTTCCATTCTTTTTTCTCTTCACTTTGTGGAGATCACACTATAGGACCATGATCGCCATATAAACGAGGTTCATAATAATTACCAATCTCTCCAATCGTCAACCATGTCTTTAAGTAAGAGTTTTCAGAAAAGATTAGCAAAAATGAGAAGAGGTTTTTTTTTTTACTCTGAAGTTTTCACAACCAGGAAAAACATGTCTTTTACAAGGGTTAATCAAACTGTCTGAGAAAGTTTGGACTAAAGTAAGAGTCAAATTAAAACTGAGATCCTCAGACTAAATCTTGACTGAAACAACAGAAGACAGAAAAACTAAAAAAGAATTAAAATCAACCACGATTTTCTAAATATCACTAAGACCAAAACTAAATAAAAATGTCTTGATGAAATTAACAGTGGCTGAGGTCTGTATCCCGCTCCATCCAGAGCTTCTGCTTTACTGAATGCGGAACACTCTTACTCAGTAATTTTGAAGGGATTTTTCAGTATTTTTGGTGTGAGCTCGTGTGAGTTTGATGCCACTAGTACCTGTATTAGCTACAATAGATGCTGGTCAGCTCAGCACCTTTAATGAGAACCTGCACACAAGCTAGGCTACAGTTTTTTGTCATGTAATTACGGTGATGTTCAGAGACTCTGACCCAAGCGCTCATCACAGTTTATGCTCTAGTTATTAGTTGAGTTATTTAGTGCTTAACTTTGCGATGAAAAAGCCTGTTTGTTTTCACACCCTCAGCTGACAAAACTCTCATCATCCTCAGAGTCATTGTGGTTCGATGTTTGGTCGCAGAGATTAGGGCCGTGCTAGAGGTTAAATGTGTATATAACTATATAATACAACTTCTGACTCTCAGAAGTCTTGAATGCACCTGTTTTTACTGAGGGACTCGCTCCTACATTTTTTTTTCAGCAGAAATGAAAACAGAAATGTTTTCAAACTGCAGGCAGTTCAAGTCATTTCGGTTTTTCTGAAAATGAAAGTGACGCTACGGTAAGTTTAAGAGGTGTAGCCCCTGCAGCCCTCCAAATGACCCCACTTTGTAATCCACTGTTTCAGAGGGACAAAATAACTTTGAAAGCATCATGTGGGGGAATATTGTAATGTGGTATAATCCTCCCATTTTTGCTTCTTTTATAGTTTTCACCCCATGCTTGTCACCTGAGGTCGTTTGAAAAACTACAATAGACCTTCTTTATGTGTATTCAGTGTATATTTCTACGATCTGCCTTTTGGGGAGCTGAAAATCTGCACTCTCTGAAAAAATGAAGATCTGTACACGGAGCTAAATCACTCCTGGCAAAGACAGTGCATTTTAACATGATTATATTCCACAGAGATACAGAGAGGCTTTACATAATAACTAGAGTGATTTGATTGTGTTGTAATTCAGAGTTTTTAGACTGTATTAAACACAAACTTGAGGGTATGTGACAGCAGAGACAGAAAACAGATTAAAGGGTTTACAAGATGATGACTGGTTGCTCAGATTGGCAGTTGCCACAGGTGCACAGAAATAATTGCATTTATTTCATAAGTAAAATGAACAGATATGTTTTTAACAGGGGCAGAGCAAGGTGTGGTAAACATAGGAGGCTTAGCCCAAACCTTGGGGGCCGGGGGCAATTTTCCTGTTTTATAGTTATGTGGTGGGCCGTTAGGGCCAGCAAGGCCTTCTTTGCTTGCCTAAGCATACTCAGAGAAGTACATTTACAAACATATTTTCATAAATATGTAAATAAAATTATACTCCATTGTCTGTTCTTTTTATGTCATATTATATCCACTTGGTTGAGCTGCTTCCAGTGTTGCATATTATGATATAGTTTTTTATCCAATCATATTTCAGTTAGCTTGTGTTGTCAGGTGCTATGAAATCTGACCAAGACCTTCAGAATCAACAGAGCAGGCTCCTGTGCTCTTTAAGTAAATGGACACAGTCAGTTGCAATAGCCGTTTAAGATCTCAAGTCTGCCACACCAAGGCCAGCAAGAGGGTCTTATGTTGAACTGGACATGTACGCGTCCTGTGATTGGATAAGCTCTCCTGAAAACCTGAAAAGCAGCACTTTGCAAAATATCAAACTAAATCCAGAGATTCGTTAGCTACCAACAGCTATCACTTTATTTTGCTGTATAGAAACGTGACTGGAAAGACACGACTTTCAGCATTAGCATCCATGTTTATAGAAAAGGACTTACTGATGAAACTGAAATGCACAGATAAACTGTACAACAGAGCCTTTAAGTCCTCTTGAGAAAAGATAGGATGATGGATCTTATTTTCAAATAAGCAGGTGCTGTGGAGGAGATCCATATTGGTGAGTGCAAGCTTCATATTTTTAATGGCCACAATAAGCAGTTTATAGGACAAACTTGTTTGAGCTCGGATAGAGTACTTTTGGTGGCCTTTAGTCGACTAATATCTTAAAATTGCCTTCTATTTTTGAGTTTTCACAGTATCTGTGATCTTAGTTTTCTACTCTTATTGTAACTGTGAATGTGTGCGAATTGGTTTTAAATGCTCCGGAAATTAAGTGTTGCCTGACTAGCCTATATCAAGGTGATGTAATGTTTAAGTGTGATTCTAATGGATTCTCGAGCCATGATGTCATAATGATAGCACTATGAGGTGTATTAATTTAGGTAGGACTAAGTGGAACGGCACTGAAGGCCTAGGTGTGAAATGCATGGCTCACCACTGGTTAGTAGGCAGGACTTTCACAACACACAAGTGCTGATAATTAAATAAACATTGTAATTGTGCTTAGAATGAGAACTGTCCTTTACACTGTTTGCCACACATCATCAAATAAAGGAAAGATAAATAAAGAAGCAGCAGCCACTGGAAAAGCTGGCTGTAACAACTTTCTGAGAGATGATACCAGCAAAATACAGTAAAGGCCTGGTTTTTGGATTGCTCTGAAGACCTTCTTCTTGATTATTCTGTGGTGTGAAGTGTGTTAACAAGTGTTTTTTTTTGTTCCCTCTGATCTGCATGAAAGATGATTGAAGCCACCCCAGCTTGGAATCGTAAATATTTGGCGTGTTTAATGTTCAGGATTATGTAGGAGAGGTACCCCAAGGAACTTTCTCTGTTGTTAGGTGGAACAAACAAAAATAAATCAAGAAACAAGCTGACCGTGACGAAGGAAGCAGATGTGCAGTCATGGTAACTATAGATTTCCAGTTTTGAGAGCCAGGACTCTGGTTGTTGGTGAAGAGTCTTTCTGTTTGTGGGGTCAAAAGTAGAAATCAAAAGTGACTTAAGATAAAAACAAACATGGTGGACTATGAGTCTCATCTGTCTTACTGTATGTTGATTATAATTGCCATGGTTGGATTTGTTGTGCTTAAATATTGTGAGGTGTAAGAAGAGTTTGCTTGTGAGTGTTCTCAGTAAAATTTTCCCACAAATTCTGGGTAAAATTGTATTGTAAATTTATTTATTTATTATTTTACTCAAAAAAAAAAAAAAAAAAAAGTTTTTTGAAGTGCACCACAGGATAATCTGGCAAAATAATCTTTACAACCTCCAATTTTCTGGCCCTTGCTGACTTCAGTTGGAGGGAAGGATCAGCCCAAAATCAGCGCGATCATCTTGCAGTGAGGGCCCTGCAGAAGGCTAACTTTCAGACCTGAGTCTTCCTCAGTTGTCTCCTATTCGAGCACTGAAGTTCTTCAGTTTGGTATTATTCACAGGTCTGTGTTGATTCCTGCTCCTGAATAGTGCCCTGCTGGCTGTTGTGTAATTGGCTGCCTCAGTCTGATTAGCTGCATCAGAATTAGGGGTTGGGCATCATTTGAATTTAAACGATTCCGGTTCTGATTCCTCGTTTTTATTCCAGTTCCTAACGGTACTCTGTTTTGATTCTTTCAAAAGGCAGGATGAAAAAGTGCATGGTTTTAATGAGGGCACTAACCAGAGTTCCTCTTTTTGGATGAAATTTATAAACTTCTCCATGAATTTTGAAGTCATATTTACTTTTGAGGAACCTTACCATGAATTTCTCAAAGGGCTATTTTAACCAGTATATTAATATTAATCTTTTTTGTCAGGTCGTTTGTCTGTGAAAAGGTTCATGGGCTAACGTTAGTATGACTCCCCCCAAGCATGTTCAGACGCAAATGTTTCTTTAACGGGTTTAATGAAGTCTTCTCCTCTTCATAATCATCCACAGACCTCCACAAACCGTGAAACTAGCAATACACAGTATTGGAATAACAGTTAGCACACTTGCTATGCACATGTACAAATATTCATAACGAAAATAAAGACAAACAAATACCTCGTTGGCTGCATACTATGAAAGGGAATCTGTAGGCTTCTTATCTTCCAGCTTTGAAGTATTAGTTTGACTTTACCGTAAGTTTTAGCAATCTTAACGTAGCTTGACTTGACAGCTAAAGGGTCAGAGCTGTGCACACGACCTCTGCTTGCTTGCATCTGACGTTACCCAGAACGCTACTGGCCTAGCAGCTCAACGTAAGTGCCAAAATAAAAGTACCCTTACACTTCAATATAAAATGCAAATAAAATACAGAAATAACCTGGTAATTCTCAAAGTGGGTTTCTCATACAAAATAAACAAAAAATATTCTGCAATATGGAAAATAAAATAGCAACAGTTACACTCCCACCAAATCTCACCAATCTTAAATGTGGGATTTCTCTACACTTAAAGACTGTTGCGAATCAACTCTTAAACATTGAAAGAACTTTACCACTCAACAAGGAATGATGAAAACATTAAGCATCAATCTGCTTCAATCAGTGTGACAAGCTTGTGTATAGG